TTTTCCAATAAGAGGTCTTGTTTTGAATATCCTGCCTTTCCGCTGATGTTACTTTTGATGCTGTAATTTTTTAATATTACCCCAGTGATAAAAATGGAACGATACACACTTTAACAATTCATTGAGATTGTCAAAATTTCATCGAAAAATCATCTTGACTGATGAGGCCCATTTCCACCTCGTTGGCTATTTCAAAAAGCAAAACTGTTGCAGCTGGGGTTCGGAAAACCAAAGATTTTTTGTTGAAAAGCCTCTCCACACACAACGTGTAGTTGTTTGGTGCGGTGTATGGTACGGCATTGCACTTACTTTTTCAAGAATTAATGAATTCTTTTATCGAGAGAACTGGATGGTATTGATCTGGACAAAATTTGTTTCCAAGAAACGGCGCTGCGTGCTACCAAGCAATGAAATCACCTTTGAAAGGAAAAGTTATATCAAAAAACAAAAACTCTCTTATTGCAAAACCCTTTAAATACGTATGTACGTGGCTTAAAGCTTCTGCTTATGATAAATTATTTTTCCATGAGTTTTGATATTTAAATGAATGGATATTTTTATTCTTTAATTGAAATTTAATACGCAATTAATGTAATGCTGCGGTTAAATTGCAAAGTTTTTGCTGCTGTTGCTCTGAGTTGGCAACTACGATGCTTTTATATATGTACGTACATATGTACGTACATCTACTTACTATTAGAATAAAGCCAGGGAGGTTTTGTGGAAATAATCTTCATTTATATAATTGCACATTAACGGTTTTTTTTTAAATTTTTTTAAAGAACATTTTATAGAATAATTTTTCCAAAGACCACGTAACTAGTTCTTTCATTCTTCTTTTCTACTAATTTAAATTTGCTTTGTTTTAGATGAATAAAACAAGCATTAAGTAAAATATTTAAAGTTATTGTACCTAGATGATGCATCCCGCTCTTCATTATATTTTCAAGAGGATTGAGAGAGATCTCGCCTTCAAAGTGTACCAGGTGTGTAAGTATGAATCTGGAATTCGCCTACAGGTTGCACTAGATGTCGATGCAGTTACCCACATATCACGTCAGCTGTGTCTTGTTATTGTATTAACATCCGACAAAGATTTCCAACTCACAATAGAACGAGTTTCATTCAGTAGCGTTAGCTTATTAGAGGAAAACATGTCGAGTTTTGTGCCAATAAAATACGATTTTTTTACGAGCTCCTGAAACACAAAAAATGACCGATTTGGATCGAGTTTTGAGTGAAAATCGAGCATAATATCAATAAAGACAACATGATGTGATTTTGCTGCATAACAATGTACCAGTACACAAAGCAAAGCAGGTCCAGGAGACGATAGAGTCGTCCCGTTGGGAGATTCTTAAGCATGCGGCTTACTCACCGGACCTTGCCCCATCCGATTACTACTTGTTTGCATCGATGGGACACGCACTTGCTGAGTAGCGTTTTACTTCTTGCGAAGACGTACGAAAATGGCTCGATGACTGGTTTGGCTCAAAAGTGCAACAGTTCTTTGGCGCGGAACTCACAAATTGCCAGAAACATGGGAGAAATGTATAGATAGCAACGGACAATACTTTGAATGAGTTACTTTGTATCATATCATTACAATAAACGTGTCTTTTCTGTACAAAAATGCCGGTTTTATTCTTACACATCTGGTATACATGTATACCCATGTATATGCATGGCTGTATTTCTCGACAGCGAAGGGGCTTTTAACAATATCTTACCAGGTATAGTTACGTCTGCGCTACGAAAAAAGTGTTTCGGGGCACAGATAGTTAATCTTGTGAAACCTCTCTCCGTAAACAGAGCAATTTTCGCTGAATTAAAAGGTGCATCGGTCACCGGATATGACAATAGAGGCACCGCACAGTGGAGGGGGGAAGTTCTCTCTCCTCTTCTATGGTGTCTCCCAGTTAACACGCCGCTTCGTATGTAAATAAAGACGGGTTGTGGCGCAGTGGCATACGCTGACGACTGGTGCAGTGTATGCAAACTGGATATAAATCCTTTAAATACTGAACTGGTGCTCTTCACTTGAACAAACAAGCCTTCAGCTTTTAAACCAACCTTACTCAATATCACTTTTTCTACTGAGGTTAAATACCTAGGCATAATCTTAGTTAGCAAACTCGCGATCGGTAAGGGATGTGGAATATGACCACATATTGTACACTGGTGATAATGAGAGCCATTTTATTCTTTGAATCCTTATCTGTTGGCCAATACTAAGCAAGCTGGGAAAAATGTAGCTGAGGACCTACACACTCATTACAGGTGTGCTGCCCTCAACTCCTACGAAAACCCTTGAAATTCTGCTAAATCTTCCTCGGTAGCAACAGTTCTGCATCTTGGATCCGTCTTCACAGACTTCCCGACCACTGAAACCTTTTTCAAACGAAACTAACCGCGAAAGCTCCGTTAATCCAACCTATTACAATATATTCTGGCAGCAACGCTGCAATTATGTCTCTCTGATGCAATTATATCACCTCAAAGGTGCAGAGAAGTCTTAAACAAACTCTCGACTGTATGCGAAACGTCCGTCTTTTGGGTCTCTGACTAGAAAGCGAACAATCTTAACCACGGTAAACTCTGCACACGACGCAACGTGGGCTAATTGATTTCCTCACCAAAGTGTCTGCTAAGGCCAGCCTTACCCAGAAGTGCCAACATCAGGTGATAGAGAGATCCACATGCAATGGGACTAATCAAAAAAATTCTACTCCTATTTTCTTAAAATCACTTGCTGTTTCATATATGTACTTGGTTTTCAAATAAATTTATTACATTGAATGCGTTATTATCCGCATGATCGAGCTCGGTGAGCAGTTTTTTATTTCAGATAACATTGTTGCTTCAGTCGTTCTCCTGAGTATACAGTTGCGATTTTGCTTCCACCATTCGTAAATAAAGTTAAATTAATTAGTAATCGGTAACATCTCTTCACTGCGGTTGGGGATTTCTGGATGAGTTACATAAAGCTTTAGCTAAAAAGTTGGAATATTTTCCAAGTTTTGTGAAACACTTCCCTATGCTCCTCTGAACTTGAAGGTCAACCTACATATAAGATACCAAGAGGCTTAGGTATGTTTACGATAAGAACGTACCAGGATGCTCATGTTATAATCGCTAGAATTTCGGACCCGAGCCCCTATATTTTAACAATATATTTTTTTTCTCATGGCATATCCCACAGTTAAATACTATATATCCAAAATTATTTTATAACTGCATTGTGAATAAATGCTTCCTTGTTTTATCCCAGAGTTGTGATTGAAACCCCAATTTAGGCTTGCTACCTTCCATATGTAACATTTTGGCAGCTCAATGCCTTTTCGAGGTGAATCTAGCATCTAAATTCTAGGGATTGTTCTTAAACCATTTAACTTAATTCCAAAAAATTTGTCCCCAATTGGTTTGGATGCCTTTTTAGGACATTACGGCATAACTGGGCTATTCATTTGGATGTTTGTATCTTGCGATTTTCTGACCCAAATATGTCATAAAATAAAGGCCCAAAAACGCTCCCTTGAGGAATACCTACTTTATCTGGAAACTCTTCATTGAAAAATTCAGATTGTTTTACGGTATACTGCCAGTTGTACAGATATGCCAAAAATATATTTTAGTTTTGTCAATCTCTATGTCAAACCTTATTGCACAGCAATACTCATAGAATTCGTATGCTTTCCTAATTTCATTAATATTTCGGCTGACTTTCTTTCTAATACCGGGTTGTCACGAAAAACCAATTAGTGTTCTGGCATCATTGGTAGCATTGGAGAAAAGGAGATATCTTAGATATCAAAATTCTTTCAAATAATTTGAAAAGACAGGGTATTAGGTTCTCCTTTTCTCCACCGTAACAATGTGATGCCAGATCACCAATTCGGCTATCGTGAAAAGCATAGTATCGAACAAGTTAACCGAATAACTAATGAAATAAGAAAGGCATTCGAGCTCAAGGAGTACTGAGTGCAATCATTCTTGACGTAGCACAAGCGTTCGACAAAGTCTGGCATAAAGGTTTAAAGCTCAGCCTGTTCATTTTTATATGATACTTAAGTCATATCTGACTAACAGACAATTTACCATTAAACAATATGAATTTATCAGTGAGGAGTATAAGGTAAAAGCTGGTGTTCCGCAGGGTAGCGTCCTCGGGCCTATTTTATATATGATATACACTGCAGACATCCCATTAAACCGAAAAGTGCAAACATCCACCTTTGCGGATGACACAGCTATTTTACGCCGGGATAAATGCCCTAACAGAGCAGCAAAAACGATTAGTGATCATTTAACTCCTCATCGAAGGATGGCTAAAAAACTGGAGAATTAAGGTTATGAACAAAAGTGTAAACTCGTCACATTTACTTTAAGACCGCAATCATGTCCTGCAATTCGCTTAAATGGTATAAACACTCCCCAAATAAATGATGTTGCATATCTCGGTATACACTTAGATAGACGTCTCACTTGGAAGAGACACATAGAGGCAAAAATACTACACATTAAATTAAATTGGCTTTTAAATAAAAACTCCGGTCGAAAACTAGACTAAAAAGTCCTTATTTACAACGCAGTATAAAAACCAATTTGGATGTATGGTATTCATCTGTGGGGTACGACCTGTGCAACTAACATCGATAAAATTCAGAGGTTCCAGTCCAAAATTTTAAGAGCACTAACGGGCGCACCATGGTACGTTCGTAACGTTAACATTCATCAAGACTTTGGTGTTTTACTGGTAAAGCCTGAAATTAAAAGAAGCAGGATGAAGTACTTCACAAAGCTAAGAAATCAGCCAAATCCGCTAGCTAATGCTTTATGCAATCCATCGAGAAATTCCCGCCTGCAGCGAAGAGATGTTCCCGCCTTCTAAGGAGAGCGCCGTAGTTTGAAAAGGGCTCAGAGTAAAACAACTCGAGCTATCATGTTTGTAATTTAGTTTTTAAGATTTGTACACTTACTGTTAGGCTTATATTAAAGCAGATCCAGTAAATAAATAAATTCTGCATAAGAAAAAACAGGTTTATCGGTCTGTAGGAAGAGGCCTGTATGCTTGAGAATGGCTTTTTTTTAAAGAATTTTTGATGTAATAAGGTCAAAGCTTGCGTTTAGATCCAATTGTTGAGTCGGCTTTCCAACTTAATGGGTTGATGTTTAATTACTTACCGGTCGATCTCGGTTAATTGCGGCAACATAAAATTATTTTTTGCTTCATTTAGCATAATTGGAAATCTCAATTAAATATTTGACACTCATCACACTGTCAAATGAGAGTAAAAATAAACGGTAGCGATGCTCTGGAGATTCATCTTATGAATTATTGCCCCACCTTCTAAACATTTTTAGTTATAAAATAAAAAAATAAGGGATCAACCGATTTCTGAAGTAATTTATTTGGGGGAGTAAATATTGCAGTAGTCAGCAATGCCTGTCTATAGATATCGTAGATAAGTGCAAGACAAGGGCATATAAATACAAATATGTGCGTTTATTGTTTATTAATAATTATCTAAGATATCGTTTGTGGAGCGTCTGTTGTTTGCACTCAATATTTATCACTAATTATTAATAAGCGAATTTATCGAATGAAAATGCGCACTCAAGCGTGTGTGCATTATGCGTATGCACGCATACATACATATATATTATGTAAGAACGATAGAAGAGCAATTCACATCTTAATTAACTTCCTCTTAATCGTTACGTCGAAGTCAATAACGCGTACACAAATGTGAATAGGAGTCGAAGAGATAAACGTGTACATACATACATACCTATTTGCGGAAGTCTTAACGAAGCTGCTTATATCGAACCCCTTAAAGGGAAAGTTTGCATTTACATTAAACAATTCTGGAGTTAAATTCATGGCTTCGGAAACATAGAGGCCTCGGGAGGTAGCAGATAACTCAATCACATTTTTCGAAAAGTGCCAATGAAGTATTCGTTTCTCATGGATCATAATGGTTCTATGGAATAAAGTTCGCTAATTACTTCAAAACGTATTTGATGCCGATGTTATGAAGAAACATAAAACTGAATGCAACTCCATTATGGAGAAACCGCATAGGACACGTCCAAATAATAAACTCAATCCCCCATACACTGCAGCGTATTCCATCCGGAACTAATTGCTGCACTGGAAGCCGGTTCATAGTTGCTTGCTACTAATACCTTAACACAACTTATTATAATATATTCTGATATCTAAACTGTCATTTAGATTCTACAAAGCAATCATACCCCCTCAAAAGGTGGCAGCAAAATTCAGAGATATCTTAAGCAAACTCTCGACTGTATCCGAAATGTCCGTCCATGGTTTGGTCATAGGGACATTCTAGGGAATTGCGTTGACGATGAAGTAGCCAGAGAGGTAACAGTCATAACCACTGTAAACTGTATACTTGACGTGGGCGTACATCCGTCCTCGGGAAAAAATCTGCTAAGTCTGGCATTCACCAGAAGGGCCTACAGTAGATGGTAGAACGAAACCTCTTTCAATATGGCAACACAAATGAGGTTATTAATTGAGATAAAACGAACTAAACCTCTTCTCCTTATAAACCGTACGTCCGTAAGCAAAAAACCCACGTAATAAGCGAGCACTGTCTGATGCGGACTCGTGGTAGAAGCCTGGGCTGTTTCTCAACACTGGTGAAACTCTACCTCTGTCACTGCCCAGCTCTCACTGCGGTCCGTTATTGTTTTCTCGGCAATTTCTTATTCGATTGCCTTGCTGAGTTTGCATCGGCAGACGTCATTAATCTGCTGAATTTCATAAAACACACCAAGTGGTTTGAACATTTGGAAGAGTGAAAGGAATCTCCTTAACAGAGCCAACATATGTATCACAGCAGGCGCTTGATCAGCGTTCAGTGATCAACAAACTTTTAAAGGAACTAAATTATTAACTGCAAACAAACTGGAGCTTTTGTGGCGAAAAAACCAAAATTGGAATAGGAATTTTCAGAGAAGTCAAGTACCTCAGTTGCATTTGCAATTTCAAATGAAGAACTTCTCTGTAATTTTTGTATTTTAATGAACTTTTTGTATTTATTGACGAATATACTTCATGTATATGTACATAAAACTTATTTCAACTGGTTGATACCAAAATGTTTGTGTTTCGTGTTGATTAGAGTGTGTATTTCGGTTGTATGATATGGTATACAGCTAATAAAGATATGTTTGTAGGTATTTACATCTGGATGAATATGTTAGCAAATAAATATGTACTTATCATATCGTATACATCACCACACCCGCGTGCTTGGAGCGCTAAGGGAGGTCTAATTTCTACACAAAAAATTTTGAATATTTAAATTTAAAGTTTGAAGTTCAGTTAAAACTTAAGAAGTCATCAAGGACATTATCTTCAAGAATACTAAGGATTGAAAATGTTTAGATATATACATATAGTATTAGTGATTAATATCCAACTATGTAAAAGAACTAAAAAATTCATTACAAATTCATATCTCACTAGATTCTGTCGAATTTTGAACTTACAGTTTTACCTCCACTGCTCCAGAGACTGAGAGGCAATAGTTGTGGTGGCTAGAATACACGACGACGTTGCCCGCTCAGCATAACAAAAAAAATCTGCTTGCATTATAAGAGATCTTCGACACTTTTAAGTTCCTATGCGTAGCTAAAAGTAGTGTAAGCACAGTAGGTTGAATTTCAAACCAACCAAAATCGAAATTCTTGTTTTTGTTGCCGTATAAAAACATTGCCAAAGTAGTTTCTGGGGTATGTTGCGGGGGTGACAGTCGTTTTAGTATAAAGACCCGACTATCGCGTTAATTTTTGCATTTTAGTCGCATCTTACGACAGTTATGATTTACCGCTGGAAAATTCTTGAACCCCTACTCTGCAAGTCTCCTTTATTGGATACATACAGTGTGAGTTAGACCGATCATCGGCATTATCGTTGAGTGGCTGGAACTCTATAGAATCATTTTAAATATACAAATTAGATAAAGTCAATCGGTCCGCAACTGTCCCCGAACAAGAGATCGACCAACTTCAGAAACTCTTCTTAATAGTCGCCCTTTATAAAAGCCCGCCAAACCGTAACATTAGGGTTATGCCATCTTACCGAAAGGAATGCCAGCGGAAGGATATTCAGCGGAGTGCTTTTTACCCCATTAATAAATTTTGAAGAAATACATATTTTGTTGTAACATAGGAAATAGCGTGTTTCTATTTTGGCAAACCCTGGATACACTGAGCATAAATCAGCCGAAAAACTTCATTACATGCTATGACAAACTTTAAGTAACTTGCATGTCAATAAGACTAAACACGGCTCATCCTTGGAATAATTCAGCCAGAGAAACTATCCATTTATTAACTTTCATAAAGAATCCATAAAAGAAATCTAAATGCTTCATATTAGAGCCACTGTCAACTTTACAGATATCTTAGAAAAAACACGGACTAATCAGACCACGCATCTTCTACCTAGCGGAACAGATACGGAAACCATTAAAGGGTTGCTTAAACCTACGTTCGCAAGCCAATCCAAAACGAATCCAAGTCTTTCTATATAATTCTGAACAGACTCTCGAGTAAGCGTCATTTCCGTTATCCAGGCGCTCGGATATAGGAGGTGAAGGATGATCTACCGAGAGGAACAAAAATTGAAGTACCACGCCGGTTGTATTAATTGTTGAAATAGACTATCAATAACTTCCCTGCAGGGGAAAACCATCTAGTATGCAAAAATTCTAGTTAAATACTAGTAAGGTGAAGCTGAAATCATACCAGCACGTTATATGTAACAGTAGGAATACAAATATTCGCCATCGTTAGTGCTTGTTATATCGGCACTCCGCGGCTGAATTCCATTTCCTGCTCTGACCTATTGAAGTGCGCAAAATGACATTAGTCGTTACGTATTCATGATTGCAGGTTCAAGCACTCCGTCATTCGATTGTTGTTGCTCTTGTTACTACGTCATGGCTGAGTTTAATTTCCTAAAAAGTTTTGTTGAAGAGCGCAGATTTTGTTACTCTCTTTAACATGATCATAGCCTAGTGGTTAAAGGTATTCTCGCTCATCTTTATTTTATTTATTTAATTTAATTTTTTATTTGGTGAAGTAGAAATTCAACATGCCTTAATAAAATAGTATACAATTACATCACCGCGTTAAAAATACCAGTTGGTACCACGAACCCAGTGTCCCAAAACATTGTCAATTAATTATTTCGATGACCCTGCAACTGCGATAAATACTAGGTCGCAGAGGAGCTAAAGTTTACGCGACATCACGTCCTGGAAAAATATTGCTATTGAGGACAGGCACCTTATAGTGCCTCCACAATGGGCCTATGGGTCTGAGCGTGCTGGTAATATGTGAAGTAACTCAATTCATAGGTGATTAAATTGTATTATTGATATCTACATCTTCATCAGCAGTGGGTCCGAAGTGAAAATAAAAACGAAGAAAAATTTATGGAGGAAAAGTGAAAGTAAGTGGCACTTTTTATACTTATTGCATTCACATACCCTTCTTAAAGTGCTGAATAGTAAAAATATAATTAAATCTTTGAAAAATCCAGAATAAATATTTATCTCCGCCGAAGTGGAGTTTGCTGCTTTTACTGCACAGGCGACAGCATATCATTGTATATACTTACTACTATGGGAGGTTAAAAGTATACTCGTATATATAAATAAATAGTTTGTAAGTATTGCAAATACACAACTCCCGGAGATATGCAAATGTTAAGATTTCTATCATTGACTTTTCGCTGCATCATTTTCATGTGCAACAACAACTCATAAACATACAAAGTGACGAAAAGGTAAGGTAAATCGATTAAGTAAAACTTGAAAAGTCTTGATTTGCTCTGCTAAATCTGTTTAGCATTCCAAGTTGTGCAAAGTTCTTTTGCATTTGCTTAGCTCTGCTCGCTTACGCTGCGGCGGTGCATTAGTTTTGTGTTGGTTTTTCTCTGTTTTAGCTTTACTCTTTACTCTTTACACTATTTACTCTTCACTTGTTTTAAACTTTTAATACTACTTTTTTATATACGTTTTTTACTATTTGCTACGTCTCCATCTGCACCATCGTTTGTGTCAACATTTCAATACACGTCTGTATTCTTGTCTGCGTGCAAATGCTTGATATCTTTCGTCCAAGTTGTCCACGTCTCGTTCATTGAAGCAGTCATTGAAGTGCAGTGAATTTAAGGCATCGGGTAGTGATTCTGTTCGAAATCTTTTTGTCGTTCCAGTGTCGCTTTTTTTGTGGTCTCTAATCGGCGATCAGTAATGGCCACAAATGGTAAGCGTTGCTTGCGTCCCACATCGCCAGCGCCAACAAGACGCGGCGACGCATCCATTACGCGGTGATATATAAACGAACTAATGGTACGACCCAGACTAGTATTAGCTGCGCCACCATCAAGCTCATCCTCATCGTCGTTGTTAACGCTGCTCGGTGTTACTGTAACCGCATCAGCTATTGTGGCTATTGGGCCGTCACCATCAGTACCACCACTGGCAGCTGTAGTACTCGTCGCGGTTAAGGGCGATGCTCCTGCTGCTGCTGTTGCTGCAGACGTTAGCGCTTTATGCACGTTCGGTTTGTAAGCGCTGAAGCGTGACAACGACTTGTGGTAATTACGAAAACCATTACTACCAACTCCACCTTCGATAGCGGCGACATTTCCACCACCTAAACCATAAATATTGCTCCAACGATTGCTGTGAATGTCACTGCCCGCCGGTGCTACGAAAGCGAGCTTGCCCCGGCTACCGCCACTTGGCGCGAATTGCGCGCTACGACTGCGCGGCTTGCCTATGAAATTGCCAGCGATGGCCGGATATGAGGGTAAACGAAAAATGACTGCTTTTGGATTGTTCGGCGCTGCAGTGGTGTGGTGATGGTGTGCAAGCGGTTTGGGTGTTGTTAATTTTTCGATTTGCCATCTCATTTGTGCGTTTCCTGTCAATTCGTTCGAATTCGCTTTATTTTCGATTTCCTTTCGCCAAATGTCAATGTCATCATCATCATCATTATCATCGACAGCGTAAGTCTCCGTGTCGGAGTCGGTTGATATACTGATATCCTCGCCTGGTAATTGGTTGTTTGATTCCGCTGTCGTTTTGATTTTGCTGATCCCATCAGATTTATCGCCTTCGTTCTGCATAGTGGTCCTTGCTTTGACTGTGATGTTGCCAGATGTCTGGGCATTAGTCAAGGATGCCTGCTTTTGTTGTGAAAATATATCTTGATAATGATGTCGGTATTCGTTACGATTATTGTCATCACCCATACTGGTACTTCCACTCTTGCTGTGGTAGCGCTTGCGTTTCTCTTTAAGGTAATCGTCATCGATGCGTATGCCACCCACAGTACTGTCACCGGTTCGACTGCTCGCATGTGGCCCCGGCTGCAATATGGAACTCGACCAAGCGGTAGGTAACGGTCGTGTCGGTGGGGGCAATGTGCCTTCAAGCAAATTCAACAATTGCTTATTCCGTCGATTGTATTTCTTTATATATGGCGGCAAGTTTGCATCTTCATCGTGGCCATTTTGCGCCTCCTCTAGTTCGGCAGCGCTCTCATAATCATCATCGTATTCTTCATCTACGTCATCATCGTCAGGAAAGAGCTCAGGATGGGCTTCACGGTAATGCTCGCCATATACCTGAAACTGTACTTGCGTCAGGTGCGGCCACTTGGCATAGTAACGCTCGAATTCCTCAAGATCAGTAATTTGATGACCCAATTGATACGCACCGAGGTCCGTCGAACCACCTCCATTTTGCTGTTGATAAGAAGGCGGCGGGATGGGTGTCTGCACCAAGCCCGACTGTATGGCAGCCTCTGTATCTGCAGCATGCGGTGATGGAGGATCAAGTCCGTTAGTGAAAACTCTGCGTCTATAAGCATTGCCTTGGTGCGACTGCTGCAGGTGGCGCGTACTGTTTGATTGATAGTGTTTTCCATGTTGCCGATGTTTGTGGTGACTGTTGTAGAGAAGTCTGTGTGGCTTCGTGTCATGGCGTTGCTGTTCAGAATGTTTGCGCGCATAAGCTTGCGAGTGCTGATGGTTGTGTTGTTTGTTGTGTGCATCGAATTGTGGGCGTCGGTGATGATGTGTGCGCTGTTGCGTATGTTGTCGCTGCTCGTGTTGATGATATTGATGTTTATGTACATGCGGTAGCTGGCTTGCGGTTGCCTCATGCTGTAACTTCCCTTCGCTGCTTAAGACTTTAACGCCATTACGTAGTACGGGACTTACACGCCGAAACCAGTTGTTATTATCCGCAGCTATCATACGTTCCATGCTACGTTCGTGTGAACGCAAACGTTCTACCTGATCTCTTGACAGCCTTGCTTCAGTACTCTCTCTACTATTGGGTTCAATATCCGTTGGTTTGTCGTTGTTATCCAGCACTGTTGCATCCCCTAGAGACTCATCATTTGCCGTCTCTAAGTAATAGTTTATTTGACCTTCGTAGAAATGATTTGGGCCGCCACTGCTTTGACTTTTATTATTCACTTCGATGGCAAAAACACTCCGATTGCCTACAGCAAATATTGGTGATGCAGGTAATCCATGAAAATTCTCTCCATATTTTTTTAGCTTTTCTGCTTTTTGGTGCTCTTTGGTGTAAGCTACATTGGCAGCTGGCTGTTGTTGTTGTTGTTGTTGTTGTTCTTCATTGAGATCGTAATCGGCGTAGCTCTTATTTGCCAATTTCGCTTGTGTGGAGTCGATTGTGTGTTTAGCACTCGTCGAAATTGCATTTTCCATAGCCGGCAAAGCCGTCGATATGTCTGGCTGTGTTGTTGTTACTAACTCGTTTACCGTTGTCATCGCTTTAGCTGTCAACGATGGCAACGGTGCATGACGCAGGTAATCCTTATATTTTTTCTTGTGTATTTTATGACCGTAAAGTCGATTGTTGCGTCGTTGGGCTTTGTAGCGCTCAAAAGCAGAAGTGTGTGTCGAATGTGGCTTACCGGTGTGAGGTGCTTCGGCTGCCATTGGTGCAGGAGTGAGATTTATTGTTATTCCCACACAATGATGATGTACATATGCAATTGTAATATTGTAATTAGAAATTGTTATTGATTAGGTGTTGTCATCAGAGCGCACAGAGGGAAGAGAAAAATAGACAAACAGAGAAAAGTTTCTTTAAAGTACATGCATATATATTTACAATGTGTAATAATAATAATAATAAAGCGTACCAAATTCATCAAACCAAAAATAAATAAGTTCAGTAATAATATACATAAGCCCATTGTCTAAATCCAATAAATGAATGTTATTTTGGTATGAATAATTTCTAAAAATAAGAAATAAACTTTATTTAGCATAAAACCAGAAATGTTTTATTAAAAAATGCCTTAATACAAATTTTCTTGTACGCATCAATGTATTTCCTCAATAATTTTAAAATTTTGCTCTTTGAGAAGCTGAAAATTAAAAAACAATAAACAATTATTTTCAATATACATATGTACAGTTCTGATTGTGTCAGCTATAAAGTAAAGTAAATTATTTTTAACCTTTTTAAATATTTTTTGTTAGAAATTTATCAAAACGAGTATAAAAGTTTATAAATTTATTGCCTACAGTACTGTTAGTTTATTACTTCTACATACAAACACATACTCACACAAACACAATTCAAACTTTATTCATGGCAAGGCAAATATTTTATTGGCGGAGAAAAAAAATTGTATTGAAATTTTGGCTTTGCTCTCCTTTCTGCAGTTAATAATTTGTTCGGGTGGTATAGGGTATTATTTGTATGAAAAACCAGTCGGTTATTGTGATGCTCGAAAAAATAATATACTTGAAAAAAAAAACAATAAATGTATTTCCCGTTTTCACTCTATTTACGTGAGGGTCTCTTCCCATGTCTTCTTTGTGAGTAAAATCATGGTACAATAATTTAAAGGTAGTTTCATTCTCTCTTCGCAGTCGGCATCACAGCTATCTGACATTCAACGTGTTACGGCTTTTTCTTTCTACCCTCTTCTCTTGAAAAATGTCTACCATTTTTATGTAAAAAATATTTGAAATATTTTTAAACTTATTTGGAAGTTGAGCATTAACATTCACTTAATTATGGTATTTTTCAACTTCATACACACACTTTCATGATAGTTGCATTGCGAGTTTAATAAATTCTATACAAGTGTAAGAAAGAGAATAGATTCACCTAACAAAATTTGAATCGAATTCAGGAAGGTGTTTGAATGCAAATCGGTCTCACAGTTTTAGAGATGTTTCAAGGAAATTTTGTAATGTTTGGGTGTATGCATTAATTCGAAAATTAGGACTTTATTGTGAAATAATGATTTTAATCGTCTGGAAATGGTTGCTTGATCAACTCCTAATACTTTTTCAAGTTCTTCTTGCGTCTGGCATACATCGGCGTCGAGAAATGTCTCCAATACTTCGTCTTGAAATTTTTTTGCCTGTCCGTCGTCTAAGTCGAAATTGCCACTTTTAAGCCGTGCAAACCACTTTTGGCACGTTCGTTCGGCTATAGCATAGTCACCATAAACGTCCAGTAAAACACGATGGCTTTCGGTAGCACTTTTCTTCATGTTAAAGTATTGAAGAAAAACTCCCCGAAAAAACAAACTACGCGAAGTAATCGAAAAAGCAATCTTCGAGAAACCCCTAACGAAGCGGAGGAGTGAAGCGGGGTTATGTATATCCTTACCCGATCAGCTCATCGTCCAGGGACTCCAAACAAAAATGTTTCGCATATAGTTGAGAAAACATATAAGTGTAAGTTTCGAAAAAATGTCAACCTTTCCTTTTTTATTTTTTTATCTAGCGAATCTTTTTCTTACTTCTGCCGCCTAGAAAAATCACTCAGCTGAAAGTTCAATAACTGCAAGATCAAACAATTCCGAGCAAACACGTAAGTGTAAAAAAATTCGAAATGAAACTACCTTATGGAATTTTTGTATCATGAGTAAAACCACTCGCATATCAAATTATAATTACAGAGATGCGGCTGCGTTCGGACGTCGGTCTTGAACTAAGCGGCTGGTTATATAAAGGTGAAAGCAATTTTAACTTACTCGCATAACTAGGTTGTGCGCTGGGCTTGGGGCCGCAATGTAGAAAGCAGATCCAATGAAAAGTTCACAACGCCTAGAATGAGATACCCCACATTTGATGACGAACATTGCAAACGAATTAATGATTGAGGCCATGCACCTAGAATGTTCGATCTCTTAATTCGGCCGTTGCCCAGGTGATTGATGTATCCTCGTCAAACAAAAGAAGCGCTAATTTGGTGTGGGATTTGTGGTGGGGAAAAAACCGCGGCGTCGGGTATTGGTATTCATTCCAGTGGATGTTCGCTCTTTTTCGAGTCAAAGCAAAAATTTTAAACAAATCACATTTCATCGGGGCCCTAAATATGGTTGTCTGTAGTACTAGACTCCAGCACAAGTAAATTCATCAAGTTAATTGGCTAACGACTGATCGAGAAACTCAAATCCAGATAGATCATGTTCTGATACATCAACTCGCAGCGAAGTTACGCACGCTTCTCTACTCGTCTTGCACTCGTGTTCTCTAAAAGTTCGGTTAGATGCAACCAGTGCAATGGCTGGAGTCACTTTAAGACCTGCTCAGACTTTAAGACCCACAGGTTATGTGACCCCATGCTGCCAGCGACCAAACGCCCCCAGCCTCCACGGCAGTCCCTTCAGCACCCAATTTGGGTAATCAAAAGACTTCTACGGTCTCACGGAGCTCTCCACAGCCTCTCTCACCAACCTCCATACCCATCCTTACCCACAGTCAGTTCCGAGTGTCAGACCATAGTGCGTCGGAATATGACCTCAGTCAGATGCAACTCTTTCCCTGGCTGGTGTCGTTTTCGGACGTGCTCTGGCCTGCGCACCACCCGTGAGTGGAGTGATGCGTATGTTGCTCCGTGCTGTAGGAGTCTGCCCCCGCCTATTTCGACAAACCCTCCGCCAACTAACACCAATGTACGTAAACAACCTCTGCGGGCGTTACAGCAGCAACACACTCTATCCACGCATCACTTCCTCACCCCCCGAATCACGAACGTTCCGCCGAGACAGACCCGACTTCTACAATTTAACAGCAACGGACTACACGAGCCGGGAGCACCTGTCATATCGACATCGACCGCAGGGATACTACCCTAGAATGTCGCGGCATAGCTATCCAGTCAGGCTATGCCGAGCTCGAGATATTTAATATATACATTCCTCCAGTTACAAGTTGCCCATTAGGATAGGTGCGCTACTCAGGGGCATAAACCATTCCAACCAATGAATCCCCACCGAAGTTATGGGTAAATGCTAAAGCTCGCCACAATCCCGAGTGCTGGTCTGATAAACAGTATAGTCTGGCGACATATACTGACACTAGAATCGGAATACTTGCCCGTACAAATCTCGATTGACAGGCGTCCCGACTTTGTTTCCGCGGACTACCGGACATTTGTTAACTTCTAGAAAGCTAACTTGCCCGGCTTCATGGAATACGAGGTGTGTTCAAAAAATATCGCGGACTATTTTTTTCCAAAAATTATTTATTTATTCGTGAATATCTATTTTGACCCCTTCAAAGTAATCCCCACTTGTGCCAACGGTTTTTCCAATCTTCGAAGCCCTTCAAAAAATCATTTTTTTTATCTTGTTCAGCTCCTCCTTCGATGCCGTCTTTATTTCGTCAATCGTAGCGTAGCGTCGTCCTTTCATAGACTTCTTCAGTTTATGGAACCAGAAAAAGTCACAGGGGCCAGATCTAGGAAATACGGTGGCTGCAGCATCATTATTGTGTTGTTTTTGGCCAAAAACAAAAACTCATGATGCACCACGCCCTGCAATCGAAGAAAACTGTCAGCAAAACTTTCAAATTCGACCGAACTTGGCGCGCTTTTTTCGGTCTTGGTTCGTGCAGCAGCTTCCATTGAGATGATTGAGCTTTGGTTTCCTCGTCATAACCATAAACCCACGATTCGTCACTAGTTATGATCCTCTTGAGCAAATTGTGGCGGACAGAGTCCAACATCTCTTTAGCAATGTTCATGCGATGCTGTTTTTGGTTGAGCAATTTTGGTACGAATTTCGCGGCGACCCGTCTCATGCCCAAATTATTGATAAAAATCGAATGGCACGAGCCAATCGATATGTTTAGACCCTCAGCAACTTCGGTGATTCGACGATTGGCCAACACCATATTCTCCACTTCATTTATTTTTTCGTCTGTTGTGGAAGTACTCGGGCGTCCGGCAAGCTCTTCGTCATTCACATCTTCTCGGCCTTCTGAGAACATTTTGTACCACCGATAAACGTTGCTTCGGTCCAAGGAAGCTTCTCCGTATGCCACAATCAACATTCGGAATGCATACGCGCACTTAATTTCGTTTTTCACACAAAATTTGATACAGGTTCTTTGATCCATTTTTTTGAATAGGTAAAAATCGAAGACCGACCAAAACACGTGCACGCTAAGCAGCCAGCTGTCCACAATTAAGTGAACATTCCAAATGGCCGAGTTTATCGGCATAAGTGACAGACATGAGTACCAGCATAACGCCACAAAAAAAAAAAAACGAAATGCGATTATACGTAACGCGCGAAAATTCAAAATTCGCGATACTTTTTGAACACACCTTGTACATTTAGAACGCCTTTAGTGCTTCTCCCACTCCATTAGACGTCACTGGTGAGGTTTTATTCAGCAGGTTCGTCGTGACCGCTTCCGCCCGCTTCATCCCGGCATGTCGACTTGCGGAAATCCGCACAAATTTTCCGACAGAAGCGGCGGTATTAGCATCCCCTAATCGGGGAGATTCGTAAAGAAGTCAGCAACCATAAGCGGAAAAAGACAAACACTGAACGTCATTCACCAGGAGTCAGTCAACACCTTCAAGGACTCCCTTCCAGTGAATGACAGGCTCTGAGAAAAATCACCACCTATAGCAGACAACGAGCTCGAGCTGCCTCGAAAGACCCGCGTG